CGAGCGAACAAAACATATCGAGATCGACTGTCACTTTGTTCGGGAACGCATCCAATCTGGAGAACTACTCATCTCATACATTCCCACTCGTCTTCAGCTAGCCGACATTTTTTACCAAAGCTCTTGGACGCGATCGTTTTCACTTTCTCCGACGCAAGTTAGGCATTCGAGATCTTCATGCTCCAACTTGAGGGGGAGTATTCGGGATAATATCTCATTCTTAGTTGTAAATATATTTTGGTATTTCTGTATCTTGTATTTTAGGTAGTTTAGATCAGTAGGGAAGATCCTTGGCTAACAAGAAAGATTATTCTTTGTATTTATATCTCTTGTACATCTTCAGTTTTAATTCAAGGTAATTAAACCATTATCTTCCTTAAATTAGAGAGTAGTATAAAAAATCACAAGGTGTAAATTGGAAATAATATATGTTTGTTCAGATTTTGAATTTTAATAACTATAGTTGAATTTTACTAACTATTTTACATTAACTTCAGTTAATTATTGCAAATAGTTAGTCGTAGATAGTTGATTAATGAGAGATTAAATTTGTATTCCCACTATTAATTAGAAACAGAATATAATCTCCACTAATGTATAGTTTATTCGGTGTGATATATCAATGAGAACACGGATGTGAATATATATATTAAGGCCAATTAAATGAAAACAATACAATTTGGCTGGAAAACTAAACTTTGGTACACTCATTTTTTGAATTTATCATATAGAGAAGTTTTCAACTTAATTTATCCTAATATCCTTTTGGTTGTTGTCAAATTATCTTCCAGAAACTTTCAAATTGCAGATTTATTCTTCTCAAAACCCTCCAAAAACATTAGAATTTCAATTGCTAATCGTTGGCGTCCTGTTGGATGACACTATAAGAAAATGATAAAATTTCAACAAAAAAAATATACCAACAGAATTCTCGCACCAATTAATTTCAGTGGATATTCTAATGTTATTATTTTCGTTTGAAGTAGAGTAGTTTTCGTCGGATTCAGATGATTCTAACGGTAGATTTTTCAATGGATGAAATATGAGTCAAAATTAAAATTCTAAATAAACAATGCATATTCCAACAAAAATTCCTACGAAAACAAATGGAAGCTATATATATCATTTTCAAATATGGTTGTTTGAATCTTCAAATTGCCACTAAAATTGTAATTCATACGATAGGAACTCAATGTTGGAACTTGGAATCGAATAATTTTGTTGAAATTTATGTCGGAATCATCACAACGGAAGCTATATCATCAGTATACCTGTTAGAAATATATTATCGTTGGTTTTTTTGCTTGAAATAAGAGAGTTCTTTTAATGTGATACATTGGTTTGTTCATCCTACAAAATTCCTTAATTTATTTTAAAATTTTGTGTTCGTCATCAAAAAGAATTTCATTTTAAATCTTGCATACCAAATTACAAACCTAATAAATTAGTTGACAAATATAAGAAACGGAAAATGCTACGGTCTCGTTACATAACCACTGTCTGCGTTTATTACCGTTAGATCATCATGTAATCGTCGGAGATATTTGATCTAACGGATACAAATCCCGACAGAATATTTTCGTAATGGGACCGTATCATCTCCCTTAAAAAACAAGTAAATGTTAATGAAAAAAACTGCATTTTCCCCTCCTTTTTTTGGTACAGAGACCTTCCGGTTTCCAGATCCACAAAGGAACCGACCAATTCGGAATCGAGCCGGGTAGGACCACAAGGGCGGCAAAGCTCTCCCTCAAAAGTTTTAACACTGTTGCATTCCCAGGGCTCGAACTCGAGACCACTGGTTAAACTGGAAGAGACCCAAGCCATCTCATCCAAGCGCTCTTGGGTATTTTTTCCCTCTTTGACAAGTCAAAACAGATTTGAACATATAGATAAGTTAATTCCACCGAAAATAAAATGGGGCGTATACAATAATAATAATAATTTTAAAATTACTAATGAAAACAAGATAAAAATTTAATTTCAATTAAAACAATGACAAACAACTAAGAAGCCATGCAACAATATTTTTCACAAAACAAACCTTAGAATAAAAAGAAATCCCCAACCTATCCCTACACAGTCTGCAAGCCCACAGACCAAATAAACAACCTTAAAACGAATTACAAATCAATAAAAACAAATCAAATCAACGAACAAACACCAATAATAAAACCCCTAAAACAAGAATCTAACTTACAAATTAAAAATATATCAATCTAATGATTAGAAATTGAACTAAAAAAAAAAAACCATAACCCATTGAATTTCCTCTTTTGCCCCTCTTCCCTTTTTTTTAGGGAATTTATTATTGCCAAAAAAAAAAAAAAATCATGTCTTAAATGAGATCATGTCAGCCTCTCCAACTGTCCACGTGTCCTTCCTTCCTCACACGCCTCAATCAAACCAGCGGTAAAAATGTGGGCCCCACCACGAACATGAGATTTTTTAGAAAGATAGCGACACACCACGTGATCGCATGACACACACACACACACCACCCAAATTAATTCATTAATCCTTTTAAAACAAAATCAAAAAATCAAAATAAAACAAAATAAAATAAAAAAAAGAAGATAATAATGCATGGCATTGGCCACCCACTCACGATTCACGAGACTGTTATTTTTTTTCCTTCAATAAATAAATAAAATATTATTATTTATTCATCGTCCATACAGCCCCTCTTGCCGGCGGTTGCCTCCGGCGATATGGGCACGGCGTCGTCGCCGGCGGCCTCCATTTTCTTAATGTTCTGTTCGTGGTAGATTTTCCTCAGCCTCTCTATCTCCTTCTTTAATGCCTCTTGATGGGCTTTCGGCAAAAAAAAATAGAAAAAAAAAAATCCAAAAAAATCGAACAAACATGTGAGCACATTTTAATTCTGGAAATAAATATGTATTAATTTGCATTATATAAATAGATAGATAACGTTGAAATATAATGAACCAATTAAGGTATCATCTAGTTGAAACAAGGAATTCACATTTCAATTTGTGGCATTATAAGAACATCGAATACTTAATTTAGCCCGAATTCAAATAGTTAATTCGAAAAAGCTCAATTGCACGTATCAATATTTCGTGATATTTCAATCACATACTATACATGCAAAATATCAGTTCGTTGGCATATTAATTGTGACCAAATGCAAGCTAGGAGCTTTACTAATTACTACATGCGAATTACATATGATTAATAATAGTTTCATAACTAAAATATAAAAATAATTAAAATTGGTGAAAATTAATTAAGATCATTATTGGGAAGAACTTAATTAATTACCATCTTTGAAAATTTTGTCTTGAGCCAAAGCTGCTATCCTTTGCTTAAGAGCACTATTGTCCACATTCAGTAGAAGCCTTTGATGGTCCAAAAATGCGACCCGAGGTGACAATGCTGATACCTCAGTCTTTGCATTCATAAATATTATATATATTTTTAATTAAAAAACCAAAATAAAATTGATTAGAGTATATTAAAAAAATAAAGAAATACTATGGTCTCGTTACGGAATCATTCCGTCAGGATTTGAAACTATTAGATCATCATGTAACCGTCGGGGATAATTGATCTAACGGTTACGAACCCCGACAGAATGATTCCGCAACCGGACCTTAGCATTTCCCAAAAAATAATAATAAGTAATTAAGAAGAAGGAATTAGGTGAATTAAATATTTGTATATATACCTGCAGTGTTGTGACGCTCCTCTCAAGCTCTGAAATGTATTGTAGCTTTCTCACTCTAGACCTCTGAGCTGATTGTCGATTGGCCAATATTCTATTGATTTGGCATTAATTAATTAGTGACATAATTGTAATAATTTGTGAGAATTTAATTAAGTAGTACAAAGTGCTAATTAACCACTAATCACGTTGTTCAATTAATTAATTCATTCATTAACAATCTCGATGGGCTTGCATGAATCCCATGATGCACACAATAATAGCTGCAGATTCTTCTAATTTTTTATTAGTTGATAGGATAAACGCTCATTTAGAGAATAATTGAACTAATAAGTTGGGAAATGCTAAGGCCTCGTTACGAAACTATTCCGTCGAGATTTTTAACCATCAGAGACGGAATAATTCCGTAACAGGACCACCGTAATCTTCCAATAATTTGATATAATGTCCTATTTATTGAATATCCCTAAAATTATTATTCTCATTGTAGCCTTTTTCGAACGAGCTAAATGCATAGACTTTCGGCAAATTCACAGCTACTATGATGGCTTTAGTATTATTATACAAATCAAATATGACGAAAAGATTTCATCACACGCAATTGCACTCAATGGTCAAAATCTGAGATTGAAATTTTTCAAAAAGAAATAGTTAATTCTAAATAAAATAGTTATATAATTTTTGCTCACCGTTTGATCCGTTTGGGGTCGACGATGGTGTCGCCGGAGTTACTCTCGGAGGACTTATTTCCAGGCGGGCCCGCCGGGGCCGGAGCATCCGGGCTGTCGGCCTCCCCGCCGGGCTCGGCCTTCATCCGTGCTTCGCTGTTGTGATCTGACGGCGTGGAGGGGTTGGATGTGGGGCCCACAGCGGCGACCTCATCGGAGAACATGCTCCGAAGCTGCTCGTCGTCCAGCCTGTCGAATCCGCCGGCGCCGCCGGCACCGGCCGCCGGCTCCTCGACGAAGGCGATTGGGTCGCTCACCGTGCGC